CTCTCGTCGCCATTTGACATGACGTAAATATATATATATATATATATATATATAGGATGTTTTATTTTTAGAATTGAATTATCTTTTAAAACTATTAATTATTTCGAAAAATATTTTAAATAGAATTTATTTTGTTTTAAAAAGGAAGTAATTTGTATAAATATTTTTCTTGTAATAAACAAGGAATTGTATTGACTCGTCGCTATTTTGTCTTTATTCCTCTTAAGTTCTTCTTTCGAATTTTCGCGCGATATTTGAATTATCGAGTAATCATAACAACGAAATAATTATCTAACTATTTTACAAAAATAAAATATATATTTTATTAATATAAATAATATTAATAAAAATAAATATATACATTTATATAATCTCATTTATATTCTTAATAAAATGTTCATTTAAAAAATTAATATTGAAACAACAATCACATTTATATGAATTTTCTCTCCTCTTCTCTCATCTCACTCTAAAATTACTCTTTACGATCAATTAGATTGAATAATTAAGCGTCACACAGCACGATACGACTAACGCCACTCATTTTTCCCAAATGGTTAATGAAATACAAGTATGTTAAACTGCAGCTTGGATACAAAATACAAAATAGTCAACGACCACGTGTAATTATGTCGTCTTAATTGAAAGTGTCAAATGTTTGCACATCTCTACGGAATTATTGTTTACCAAGTGAATTAGTTTCCCTCCCTCCCGTGTTTCTTTCCGGCTAAAGAGCGAGGAAAGGCACCAAGAGGCCAGGAGAGAGAATATCCAACTCTTGGAGATCACGTACGAGCAGCTATTCCACGTCAGATCGTGCAAGATTTCACGTGGTGGCTTCGTGAACCCTGATTAGGTAACTTTGGGGAGGGGGGGGGGATAATAGAGACTTCGTGGAGGAGGAAAATCTTGTTTCCAACTATGCGAATTAGTAGTAAGATAGAAATTTCGGTTGATTGAAATGTAAAACTGTGAATATGATAAATTGGAAAAGTAACTAGTCGTAAAATCATTCGAAGAAAAATCTATAATGAAAATTTTATATGTGATATAAATTAAGAATAATGAATTATAGTGAAAAAATATAAAAATTAAAAATTAATAATATCGGAAGTATAATTTTTGAAAAATATTTTGGAATGTAATTTTTTGCTTTTTGATAAAAAAAAAAGATTATAAGGAATCGTATCTTTTGTCAATCTTGTTTATATGAATTACGAAAAATAATAAAAAATTGATATTCAAATAATTTGAAAGAATTCTTAAAGGATTCAAGAATTTAAGACACGGAGTTTATCTAAACACGTATCACACATATTTTCGAGAGGTAAGAAAAGTTTAGCATTTGCAATATGAAACGCTGTAGAATGTAACATGTAATAGTTTATATACAGGAAAAATGACATCTTGGAAACTCTCATAACCATTCCGTTGTCAGGTTCAGGACACAAACGTGGAGCTGCACGTTATTGTTATATCTAGACACATTCACATATAGGATATTTTTATGGTGTCAGAAATAGCAGTTTCTTGACACTAAATAACATTAAACTTGTCAGAGTGTTAAACCTTCAAGAATGTATTTTCCAAAATGGAAAAAGAAATAAGATTTAAAATCGATATTAACTAATATAACCTTAATCTGATATTTTCTTAATTATTCCACAGCATCTATGATATAATATTTCAAATATTGATTTAATTGCTTTTGACGAAGTAACAATTACTATTTTATATTAACCATTTTATATAATCGTTAAATCAATAAAATCAGACATAGATGGATTTAAAGATAAGATGATCAATCATCCTATTTCTTCCTTCTACTGTGTCCTCCATCTTTATTACTATATCCTTCTTGCTCATCTTTGTCATCATAAATACCTCTCTTATCTTCATCATCCCTTACCTCTTTTATCTGTTGACCACTCTCTTTCTATTCTCTTCCTACTTTAACTTTATTCTTCTCCATCTTTACCATTCTCTCACCAGTTCTCTCAAAGATATTATCTTGGTTACATTATTTTTTTCCATTTCTCTTTTTCTAATTTAATTTAAGAACTTTCATATTTCTATCTCATTCTCTATTTGATCTTTTATTATTTTTCTATTTTTCTTTCTTTATTATTCATTTTTTCATCCTCTCTCTCATCAATATTTCTTCTTTTCTCCATTTTTCATATTTATCATCCAATGTACATATTTCTCTGTTATACTTTCTCTATAATTTTTTTCTTTTTTTCTTATCATTACTTTTTATTTTCTTCTGTTTAATCATATCTTTTTTTTTGCATTATGGTTTTTTTTTATTACTTTTATTATTTTTTTCTCTTAAAATCACGAGTCACTCTATATAGTTTTGATCTTTCTCTCAGATCGTCTCCGTTTCGTTGGAATACAAAACGAGAATAGAAACTATTCTCTGGTACGAGACATTCCTGATAAGAACACAGTTCTGGAGTCCAAGGCATGTACTCACGATTTCGTAGAATCTGTTAATGACAGCAGCAAGGTTAACAGACGTTAGAAACCAACAGTTACGATATTGCTTTCACTGGAATACTATACCATTCACTTGTCAGACGTAGCGCTGGTTTATACTACTTCCCATTCAAGATATACATACGTTGTAGTGAACAAAACAGTGAACAAAAGAAAGGGAATGAAATGGAAAGAAAAGACACTTTATCTTAATAAAAATCTATTTTAAAATTGCTTTAAACATTAATAATAATCTTCAATTGTATAATATTAATATAATGAATTTAAAATTTTGAATAAAATTAAATAGAAATCCAAATATTACAGATGAATAATATCAATTCTTGATTTTTATAAAATTAAAAATATATTTGGACACAAAACTATAGATAAAATTCTACAAACTTTGAATACGTTATTCTATAAAATAACAAAAGATATTGATATCAACTCTTGAGATTATCAAGATACTAGGTATTCTTGACATTCTTCTAAAGTTTTAAAGACCATAAATATTCTTGAAACTTCAAGAAATGTTGGATAATTCCACTATCAATAGAACTTCTGAAGGACATCAATATAGAAAATGTTTGAGAATCATTAATATTTTGAATACGCACAAAACTTCCATAAAATTTAGACTTAGTATTTCTTAAATAATAATGAAACTTCTAAGGACAATATTTAAGTATTTTTTTAAATTTATAAATAACTTGGACTAATAACTTGGATATAATAATATTCCTAACAATAATAATAAAGAAAATTCTCAATCCTAAAATATGTTTATTAGCAATCAAGCAATTTGTCTTTGAATAAATCAAGGAATTTGTTGAACATCCAAAGTTTTAGAATAATTCTGATATTCTTAAAACCTGGAATAACTCTCAAAACAATTTGGAAATTCCAAAGAATAATGGATATCTCAGACATCAGTATGTCTTCTGAATATCAGGTATCTTTGAAATTTCCTACAACCATACATATCACCAGTATTCATAAAATCTACTGGGATTTCAGATACTTTACACACCTACCTCTAAACTTCTCATAGTTTGTCTCAGTTGGTTACCTCTAACATCTTCAGAATTTCCAATTCGCCTTGAACCACTGTAATATTGTGTAATTTATTCCTAGTTTATAAAATCTCTTTAATATTCTTTCAATCTGGATTTCTCTCTTGTTTCAATGTAGAATGAGTGCTATCATGATGACCGTATAGAAGGATGATCTTCTCATCTACATTTTCATCTTTCAAATATATTAAAAAATGAATATATTGGTATCTAAATTATTTCTTAAAAACTTTTGTTTTCTACATGATTATAGAAATTCTGAGACTTCTAATCTCTCCAATTTCTTTGATCCCTTAAAACTACATGTTACCATAAAAAACATTACAATCCAATATTTTATTATACTTATCAATTTCTATGAATCTTTCCATTCTCTTCAACAAATTGTCCATTCATCTTTCTTCTTTTTTTAAAATTTACACAATTTTTCAACTCGTCTTTTATTAAAACCCAAAAAATTGTTACAATGCATGGATTTTTGATAACATTGCAAAGATATTCGTTTGAATTGTTCTTCTCTCAGTGCAGATCTAAGATTGCCCTTCGACGTATCGAATATCGCAGGTTGGACGTTATCAATATGGAATATGGCGACCAGCCTAGTCCGTGTTGCGTCTTCCATGTCCACGACAACGTAATATAGTATGTGGTAAGTCGGAGAAGTGAATATTGAGTGTCATAAAGCCAATGTTGTCGATATAAGCTCCCAAGTGGGTTACCCTCTCCCAACTGATAGTACGTATTTTCTACCAGCTGCTGGAAAACACTGTGCTTCTTTTGATTCCACGTGTTTGAAATGGCTTCCACGTAGCTTATTGCAACACATTGAAATTCGCTATGAAATTCGCACGAATCTTATGAAGACAATTTTATTACAGCAGTATACTTGTTCAAGTAAATATGAAATTATTTAGAAAAAAAAAAATCGATAAGATAAATTCTGATTTTTCCAAAAAATTCAATTTCTTTTTGAAAGTAAATTTGAAAGATAAATTTAGTCATTTTTCTATTTATTATTTGTTTTTGTATCGTAACAAAGATTATATTTTTTTATTTGATTTTCATTATTCATTGATCGTTATTTCCAAGTTTACATTAGATAGATTATCAGCGGTTCTCATTCAAGAATTATTCATGATCACCAAATTCTAAGATTAAAATTAACTTTAGACACAAACACAGAATGTATAAGTTCCTCTATAAAGATAATCTTTATTTCAAATTATTGTACAACAATGTTATCAAAAGTTAATAAAGTTAATATTTCTTTGCTTTCATAATATAAAAAAAAGATTGTTACAGGATATTTCGAGCATGGACAAGCATTGCTCCAGCTTGTCGATAACCACCTACGAAACGGTTCGTGTTCTTCAATGTGTGCTCGTAACGGAAACGTATTGTCGACTCGTGGAGGAGTATTAATCGATACGCGGTTTAGATATATTTCGATTTATAAGAGAGGGTGAATTGGAAACAGTTTTCACTCGGTTGTTATTCGGTTATACACTCAGACACGCAATTTATTCCGATTCTTGCAGTCGTTTCTCCTCTTTGATCAGCTCCAGAATCCCGATTCTCATCTCGGAAACCACGTCGTTCTCGCTTAAGCCCAGCCGACGTTTGTTGCTGATGTCGAACACGCCTTCTTCGCCCTCGGTGTGCTCACCCCTTGTGCCTCTTATCTAAATATTTAATCGATGGTTTAATCCCATGTATAGTGCACATGGTCCTTAATTTAATGAATTTTTAAAACTCTATTTAGTATTCTCTCTTATGCGTTGTAAGAAGTTTCTAGGGATCCCCAAGATCGATCCAGATTTCCCTAGATTTTGATCACGTATTTATATTTAAAGTCCTCTATTACATCGTGTCGCAGATCTCTAGTCTAGGGATAATTCAATCATGATTTCCATAGATTTCTATCCAAGAACAATTTCATTTATTATCGTTCCTTGGATTGTCGATCGATTAGGATCTCCTAATTTTAAATCGGACCTGATTTTCTTAGATTTTGATTTTATTAGATTCGATAGTTATATTTAGAATTCTCTATCGCACGATTTTATTTATTGTTCTCTACTAGCGCTCTAGGATTGTTGATCTAGGGATCCCTAATTCGACCCTGATTCCCCTAGATTTTAATCGTATAATTCGATATCCCTTATTGCGATACATCCCAGATTCACGATCCAGGAACCCATTAATTCAACCCTGATTCCCCTAGATTTTGATCACATGGTTCTATTTAGTATTCCCTATTGCATTCTTAGATACCCAAATTTGACTCTAATTCTCCCAGATTTTAATCATGCAATTCCATTTAATATCCTTTATTGCATTGTCCTAGATTCACAAGCTACAGGACATCTAATTTAATCCTCATACTCTCGATTTTGATTGTGTGTTTCTATTCAGTGACCTCTATTGCATTCTCAAATTTCTAACCTAAGTATCATCAATTCAATTCCGATTGTTCTAGATTTTAATCGTATGATTGTATTTACTATTGCATATCAGATTTTCAAGTTATAAAATCTCTAGGTTTTGATCATAGTGATTCTAATCTTATTTTTCACTAGGATATTAGTATACATTATAAATTATCCTAATCCTAATTTTTTAATTTAAATTATAAATATTCGACTCAATAGGTTTGAAAAATATTTTTCAACGTTCTATATTCTTAAAAAACACACGCGTTATTTAAATAATTTATTAATGGATAAACTTGTGATCATGATAATCTCATCTTTCGTTCTCTCGTGTATTTCGTATATTTTATACGAATAATTTTCTGAAAATGATATGATAATTATATAAATAATGAGAAATTTAACGTGTGAACAAATTATCGTTTCAATCTAAATATTCCAAATTTTAGTAAATTATTATATATATATATATATATATATATATACAACAGACACATTCATTAAAGAAATCTATTCATATTCAATTGTCTGTGAATATTTTCATGACTAATTAATATCAACTGCATATTAAATTTCAAATTTCAAAAACAAAGAAGAATACGTTATATAAAACATGGAATAACAAAAATAATGTAAAAAATAGAAAATAATATTACGCTTATTCGAATTATAATTAATTATTTACTATTTTATTATTTTTATTTTCATTGTTAAATTTAATTGTTCCTATAATTTCATCGTGAATTTTTCCAAAAATAAGTGAAAACGCAGTTAAGCAAAATTAATGCATATAATAATTTGTTTGCAATCTCTTGTTGAGTATTTTTTTTTTTTAATTTTTTTTTCAATCAATTTTTATAATAAAATTGTTCCCGTTACGAGTGTGAATCAATTGTAACGTTTAATGCAACGTTTGACACAACATCTTTATTAATTATTATATATATATATATATATATATATATACAAACAGACACATTCATTAAGAAATCTATTCATATTCAATTGTCTGTGAATATTTTCATGACTAATTAATATCAACTGCATATTAAATTTCAAATTTCAAAAACAAAGAAGAATACGTTATATAAAACATGGAATAACAAAAATAATGTAAAAAATAGAAAATAATATTACGCTTATTCGAATTATAATTAATTATTTACTATTTTATTATTTTTATTTTCATTGTTAAATTTAATTGTTCCTATAATTTCATCGTGAATTTTTCCAAAAATAAGTGAAAACGCAGTTAAGCAAAATTAATGCATATAATAATTTGTTTGCAATCTCTTGTTGAGATTTTTTTTTTTAATTTTTTTTTCAATCAATTTTTATAATAAAATTGTTCCCGTTACGAGTGTGAATCAATTGTAACGTTTAATGCAACGTTTGACACAACATCTTCCTCGTCGTAACAAAATAACAAAATTGAAAATTCAAGCAAATTAAATTCATCGTAATTAGTATCACAGGAACGTTGAAAATTTCAGATTTTACCGAGCAGTTAACGAACAAATAATTAATTATACATTCCCTGGCTGCGGTCGACCCCACTCTTCAAGCTGAAAGTGAAAATTCAACAATCGATGGTAGAACAACAATTTTCAAACCAACTTTCGAACGGGAAATGTTATGCGTTATGCGAGAATCTCGAATATCTCTTTTTTCTTTCAATTTAAATGAATATGAACAATTTAAAAAAAAAATTAAAACAGTGAGAAAAATTTAAGGAGAACAAAACTGACTCGAGCAGACTACTAAGTATGCTTGATAAGAGAGATTATCAACAAGATATTAATTCATCATCGATCTTATAATTTCCACGAAACATGTAATTTTTCTTTGAAAAAATATAAATTCTTTTTTCCAACCTCGAAAATTTGTTCGCCGCTTTTCTTCTACGCGATGCGTTTAACAAGAAAAGCTAGAGATATTTTGTCGCGTTTAATCACGTTACGTTTAGTCGCCTAGGGAATTCTAGGGAATTCCATAAACCGGTCTACGCATAACCTAAAGAAAAAAAAACTGCACGTACTTTTATTTTACTTCATAGGTATACTTTTGCCTATAAACAAGGAAGATCTATTCAAATATTTTCCTCGTAAACGGAATATTCATAACTGGCTGTTTGCTCATCTCGTTTCGCGACTATAGTTTACGTTGTATACACTTGGGATTTATATAAGCATCGTTGCTGCGCTCGGTCAATAATACGAAGGATATAAATATTTCGTATGAACGTATTAACATTAATCCACCTGCGATACTTGTTGCGTTTCATTAGCATTTCAACAATGAATAACAATATTCGACAATGATAATTACGCGGTATCTCGATATTATTTCCTCGTTTACTTATTTCCCGATTTCGCGGCACGAATTTATGATTTTTCAAATAATCGTTGAAATATTTTCGAACCATTAAGAGATTTATTAAATTATTTTATCGAAAAATAATTATATCGCGGGAATTATTTTATCGAAAAATAATTATATCGTAGAATCGATTAAAAAAAAAAATATTAAAACGAAGATGATTTGTAATACATATAATAAAAATAGATAGGAAAATTAAGTCTTTATTGGATAAGCCGGTTATACTACTTGGCAGTAGTACAAATCAACCGTTTGTTAGGCAAACCATAAATAGAAAAAATCACTACTCGGAAAAATGGAATAAATCGATCATAATCAAAGTAGCAAGACAAATATAGATTAATTTAATTAGAAAACCGTGATAAATGATCAAAAATACCTCGAGCCTCAAATCGATCGTAATCAATAAAAAAAAAAAAATTGATTTGAAATTTTCGAGCGAAATTTCGCCATTTCAAAAATAGATTCGAATCGAGAAAAAATAGGAAGGATGGAAAGGAAATGGAAAATGATCTCTCACCTGAAGATTGTACATATTCGCTATTTCTTGGAATCTCTCAAGATTAGTGTTCAATTTGGGGAATCGGGCGTGAACAGAGGCCCTGATCGTTGTTCCAAGGTTGGTCGGGCAGAAGGTTAAGTAGCCCAGCCGGCGATGCCGTGAGAATGGTAGTTTTTTACCGACTTCGGTGGCCCCTTTAACGAGCCTCGCGTACACGGCTGCCAGATCTCCGCCTTTCTGCATCGATATTAGACGCACGTGATCCTCCTCGTTGCACCAGACGAGGAAAGTTTTCGCATCGTTGTAAAATATACCTCTGCCTGGAAATTAGGGAGAGAAGACGTTCTTTTTTTTTTTTTTGAATTGTGTCTCTCGTCGATAATATTACTATTGTAAATATTAAATGGAGCGAAGAATTTCTCTTGAAAAATCAAAACATTCGTAACATCGAACGAATATAACCTAGAATTTCCTGATATTTCGAAAATAAAATTGTGCCATTTTTATTTATTTTCAAAATGTTTATTTCCTGCAAAGATAGAGAGAAATTAAGTTTTATACTTTATTAAACTATGTAAAATTCTAAATATATTTGTAAATCCATTTCCAAAGGTGTCGAAGGTTATCTGCGTCGTATATTGCGTCATTTCTCGATTTCCTTTCGAGCGCGCGTTTTCTTCCGCGAAAACTGAGTAAATCCAGTGTCGATTCAAAGATAATCGAAAGTGGTTCGGTTTACGGCTGCGTTTCCATTTGCCTCGGGCAACTCGTGGAATTGAATTATTAATGTTCCATTCTTCCACGCACACGTGACCCCACGGGTTTGCAAAGGAGCAGAGGGGAATGGGAAATTTTCTTTTATCCCGGATCTAACGTTTTCACTCACTGTTTCAATCGTGGGGATGGAAATTCGATACAACTCTTGGATTTTTTTTCTTTATATTTTCACTGCTTTGAAATTTATTCTCTTTTTTCATTCTTACATTAATATCATGTTTTAAACTTAACCTCATTTTCATATGATATTTTTCGTTCAAATTTCTTTTATACGAATATTTTCTAATTTTTAAAAAATTAGATCGTAGATGTTAAATAAGATGTTCGAGAGGTTAGATTAGGTTAAGAATGGGGAATTTTTTTTTATCCTGGATCTCACGTTTTCGTTTGCCGTTTCACTATTGCCTTGAAATTTATTCTTTTTTTTTTTTTTTTTTTTTTTTTGGCTCCTTTTTTGATGTAACTATAATGATATCGACAAATTTAAATGTGTTCAATTTCAAGAATATTGCAAAAAATTTAACTTGTGATATTTTTCGTATAAATAAATTTATGTTCGAGTCATGGATGAAGCGTAATCTAATTTTATAAATATAACCTTCACTCTTCTCGTTGCAAAAGTTGATTTCTTTTCTTGGAAACTCTTCAATTCGTTGCAAAATTAAGATAATTATAATAAATAAAATACCATAAATATTACAATTCGAAAATAATAGATTAGTAACTTTTTTTCTCTCTTATTCTTTTTCTTCGTTCTCAATTCTATAATAATTTTCATTTACACAAATGTCTGGCTTGATATTAAGAACCTTCTAATATCAATATTAGAATAACACATAGATTCCATGGAGAAAAACAAATTTCATCTTTATACATGATCTTTACACATTCCCAACTACAAAGAACACTGTTACATTTGAGATCTCATCTAATTCTAATCTAAATCATCTTTCTTATACCTTTTAATATACACCGTTGGAAAAAAAAATCTCCAAGCACTTCTTCGATGACAGAGAATTAAAAATTAAAAACTTAAAACAAAAATATGAACAACAATCTATTCAGAAATCAATTCCACTTTTATCAAAGAGAATCGAGACTAACCTAACCTAAAAATACATATTAAAGATATTTATCAAATTCTTGGATCCCAATAGCAATTTTATACGATGCGTAATATATTTTAATAAGGCGAGATTTATTTAGGAACGGAAAGGCAACGATTTATTCGCTTTTTACAATACGTACAACGTCCGATCAAAAGAATCCTTAGTAATATGAAACAAAACACGCGTGTTACAATTGTAATACGACTCTTCGACTGAAACACGGTTCGAAAGCGGAAGGGGGAGGGAGGAGGGAGAAATAATTTGATCGAAGCTGCAACGTTCGTAAATAACGAGCAACCGTGGTCACTCTGCAAAAGCAATCTGTTATCAGTTCGGTTCAAAGAACAAAAGCGAGTAGTTACGATATCTGTGGAGGGGAAGGGAGAAGAAGAAGGGAGAAGAGAGAAACTGGACAAAATTTTAACGCTTCTTCCATTTATTTTATTTTATCATTTCGATAAAAATTTATGCGATAATCATTTTAATTTAAAAAATTCTTCTTCAATCACTCCATTTTCCCAATTTATTGAAATTAGATTCGAATTAAATTCGACCATTCGAAAAAGGAATCGAACAAGTAAAAATTAACCAATATTTCACTAGCGTTGGGAAAATGTCTATAAAATCAAACTCATTATTCGTCCATTGATCTATATATATATATATATTCATTTATATCCATTTACGTATTCCATTACGTTTAAATGAAGAACCAATTCTTACGAATCTGTTTCCCCAAAAACTCAACCGAATATCGATCGATCTCAAAATTTTTTTTCGCCCACCAACTTCGCCTTGGAACACCTTATTACAAACCAAAATCTCGTTTAACAATGCATCATCGCCCCAACAAGTTTATAATAAACGATAAACCTCGTGATTACGAGGGACAAGTGGCCGCAATAAGTAAAGTCAGCGAAGTATATACATCACGCGATAAAGGGACCGACGAGAAAACCCTCCTTTCGAATAGCTGATTCCTCCGCCCCCTGTACACGCGCCCCAGTCCCTTTAACGTCCCTTAACCCTTTTTGAGCCCGTTTAATCTCGACGGTAAAGAGATTTGCCAAGGCCATCGCGATGAAAATCGCTAATGCAAATTCACTTAATCACAGGACCCTTACTCGGCTTTCTGGCAACCCGCAAGGGGTGGCCGGATCGCTTTCGATTCGAGAGTAATATCTTTGAATCCTCGCTCGAAGAATTACTGTTTTATCGACCGAGCGGCGGCGGAAGGAAAGAAAACTAAAAATTTGCTTTTAAATACACGTTTAAATTCACGCAAGTGAAAAGTAAATTTTCCGTGAAATTAGTTCTCGCGGCCGATTATTATCCGATAAGAAATTTGTGTAAAATCGTGTAAAAATATCTGTGAATAATTCTGTGATTATTCTCCTAATAAATTTACAGAAATTTATCTTTAATTATTAATTAAATTTTCCAAGTGAAATAAATTTTTGAATTTTGAAAATTGAATTATTGTGATATTTTATTTTTTCACTTACTATAGTATAAGTGCTATAGAGGGCAAGTTTTATTCATTATTGGAGGTCTCGAAGAGCAAAAAAGGAATTTATATATATAATACGTTCCGTTGCACAGCTTATGCCGATTTTGAATTTTCATGGAACTTCTGAAACTTCGAATTACAGGTGATAATGGCAGCTGAGAAGGTTGTTAGAGAATTTCGAGGTATTGGAATTTTTAATTAAACCGTGATGTCTAAAATGTCTAAATGGAATATGAAAATATGGAAAATTATAATTTTTCAACAAATTAACTATCGAAATTTATCACGCGTTATTTCAATTATTATAATTAATTATCCTGTAATATTATTATAGTTATTATAGTTGATTCAAAGGAGAGAAAAAAAAACTAAGAAGGGAAAATATGATTTAACAATAATATTTCGAATGTTGAATCACGAATTTATCGAGTGTCAATAACTCGAAAGTTTTTCTGATTATCAAAACCGAAATTCTGAAACTAAACGATGCAAAATTTGAGATCCACGAGTACGTACGTAATTTGAATATACCTCGAATGCGAAGATTATTGAGAAATTTTCATTTCCGTTTCAACAATTTTCCCTCGATGCACGATTTTTATTAAAAAAAAACTGGATATTTTTTAAATTGATCCGAAACGGAAGTAAAAATAGTGAAAATACATCCGAAAACGTATTGTTCCTCTGTAGAATTCAAAATTCATAATAGAATAGAAATTTCGTTTAAACACAAATTTTAAAAGATCGATTTCTCACCCCACGTCATTTTAAAAAATTATAATTGGAAATAGACGTTCCTTATGATGCAAATATCAAACTCAACATCACATGCAACGTTCTTCACATTCTTCATTTTATTTTAATTACATTTAAATTTTTTTTTTTTCATTCTTTCTGAGAATATAATAATATAATAATAATATATTGTTCATTTCATTTTAATTAGATTTAATCTTTCCCTCAATTTTCTTTATAATATAATAATTCCCCTTATATAATTCCGATTCTTGTTTACCTTCAAATCTTTCATTATTTCATTCCATCTACGAATATCAGACAATCGACATTTTATTCAACGTAACAACATGCCTCGATATCGTGCTCAGGATCACGAATAATACGATTTCACTATATGATAATATATATTTTTTATTTTATTTTATTTTCAAATCAGATCTCATTCACTCTTTCACGCTATTTACCTCTGGGTTCATTTTTACGGTTCTCAGGATGATTGATTGAAAATCCAATGAAACGCATCGAATTGTTTTCATTTCACGGGAGAAGAGAATCAACGATGAAAATCAACAAACAGGTGGACCTGTCGTGACACCCGTCAACTCGCCATTTTGTTAACTCGGTACACCACACTTCGGTACCCCGCCTAATCCACGAAACTTTCGGCTTAATCTTCGTTTAAACTTGAACCAAGCCCAATTTCGAGCATTTGGCTTTATCCACGGATTAATGTTTTCAAACGAGCTGAAGAAACTTACGCCATTGTAATTGAATGTTTTACGCCAACCGCAGTGATCCTTAAACCGAGCGACACGTTTAAATTTCCCGCGCGAATTCAGGCTAATACAACGAAACGACGCGAAATCGGTAAAAAAAAAAAAGAAAAATGCATTTAAAGACATGTTAACAACATTACATTTTACAAAATTATTTAAAATAGCAAGGTTAAATATTTTAGAATTAATTTTGCGAAGGAGAAAAAATGTTGATATTTTATTGCGGTTGATTTATCAATTTTTAAAAAAACTATAAAGAAATATATTATTAGTAATTCGAATGATTCTTATTTGCAACCAATCCAATATATTTAATCTGTACGAAAGTGTAAGTAAGATTATCACAACAAATTCAATTCACGTTTCAGATATATAATATTTAATAATCTGAACCAAAGAACGAAGGTATTAAATCATCGATATTAAATCGTGATATTAATTCACTATAGAGAAGTATGTACAGTATATGGGATTAAACGAAGGGAAATTATTCGAGCAATGGACGATTTCTTTTCTTTTTTTATCATTTAATTAAAGAAAGTTCGTTGAAAGATTAAAGATTTTCGACGTGCTCAATCAAACAATACAGTCAAATCCTTTCAAATAAATACTATTCTCGGTAGATTCTTAGTTGAACCAACACGTTAACCTCGAAATTTCTTCCTCGAGATAGTATTGTAACCTCATGACTTGTTTCTTGAAGTATCTACATACAGTTTCGCAAATCGTATTTGGAAAGTATATACACAGCGATCTCTCGTCTCGTGTTAGTCAATAAATCAACAAATAAATTCGAAATGACGTAATACGAACGAATTTCGAAATGCAATACAAAGAATAAAATTGATAGTATAATAATAGTATCGATAAACTTACCGTTTCTCACTTTAATGAAATCATTTTTCATTATAATTTAACTAGAACTTCTAAATAACTTCTAACTTCTCTGTCAAGTTAAATTGATTAATTTCAGATCTTTTTAAAATTTATACATCACCAAGCACGAATCGTTGAAACGAAAAAATAAAAATAAATTGTTATTTTATTTTGTAATATCAAAAAAGTAGAGTATTGCCAAAATTAATACAAAGTAATATGGTATTGTAAACTTATAAGACACGTGCCTTTTTCTCACTAGAATCTCAATAACAATAACACTGAGCTCGAGAACTAAGAAAAGAACTAGAAAAAAATCTTCACAATCCCAAGAGAATATCCCCAGGAAGAATGAAATTCACCTCAACTTACGATCTAATTACTGACACGCGGAGGGCGCCAGCTGGTGTGGCAGAATAAAATTAAAACTTGTAACTCCATCGAGACTCATTAATCTGCGTCTCGAGAAGTCTGAGCCATCGTCGAATCGTTTCTCGACATTGTACATTAGTCATTACTATAAATATTCGTGAGTGACGTAAGATCTTGGAACAACGATTTTTAATTTAAGATCGATATCCAACATTAATTAATGCGTAAGCGAATAATTATTGTTCTGAATACATCATTTTTATGTAGTGTCATGAATAGATGAAAAAAATTTTAAAAAAGTTAATTGTTTTAAAAGATACTTATTGGAAAAGTGAAAGAAATATGATAATTAATACAATTTAAGGGAATCAGCCGCGATCTTGATATAGGTTAGGCAGAGATTATCTTCTTTCTACTTTATTAAAAAATTATTAAAATATTTTATCGATGGATTTGTTTCGAAATATTGAATTTAACGTAAATAATCGACGTTCAATAAAACGTTGTTAATAATTTTTATTTAAAATGACCAATTAAAACCTTGCGATTAAAAAAATAATAGATTATATTTATGAAAAATATATCAATTTATCAGTTTCTATTTTTACAAGTTTTTACCAAATGCACTTATAAAAAAAAATCCTAATTTTTTGCGAATAAAAATTCGCAATCTGTTAATTACACCGTATCGTGAGATAAAAAGGATTAAAAATCGCTGTTCCAAAGTACAAGAGGATACCGAGGTTCGACAATGGATGGGACGATAAATCTCGAACAGTTTTAGAGGTCGATCTGTACCAAGTTGGAGAGAGAAGAAAAAAAAAAAAAAAAAAGTTAAGGGGCAGGTAGCTAGAGGTGAACGTGATCATTACTCACCGATTGGCCAGAACCTAATGGCATTGGCCGCCTCTAAAAATCGATCGCCCTCTTTGAACAGGAAATGATCGTCTATCAATCGTTGTTGAGTTATCTTGTCCATCTTGATCAAACTGTAATAATTCCCCTTCAGCTCGTCCTCTAACGTGTTCAAGACTTCTTGTATCTGGAAAGAAAGAAAGAAAGAAAGAAAGAAAGAAAGGAGGAATTAGAGGAGAAACGAAAGTGGAAAAAAGATATAAAAAAAAGAGGAGGGGGAAGGAGAGGAGAGAAGGAGAGGAGATAAAAGGAAGAGATTAAAAGCAGTGAACAGATTAGAAAGGACATTCGCAGAGCCTTTGGTTTTGCTTGGGAAATTTATATAGTTCACTTCTGTTCAGTGGACAAACAAAGCGGATAAAACGCGATTAGAAAAAGCAATTATATGCCTTAACGGAGGAGGATTTTCGAGCTAGCAGAAATCAATTAGCTACGTGCTTATACGTTGTGCGCCTTCATTTCAAACATCACCGACGCCAAACACAACTCCTGTGTAAAAACATCGACCTTGTTTCTCCCTGCCTTCTTTATTGTGTCTTCGTTGCTGTGTTGTCTTTTTTTTTTTTTTTCTTTTTGTGGATATTTTTAAATTTGTGGAAAGGCTTCTTTATTGTGTCTTCGTTGCTGTGTTGCTTTTTTTTTTTTTCTTTTTGTGGATATTTTTAAATTTGTGTAAAGGCTTGAGGATGAAAAATAATTTTAAGTGTCATTACGACTGTGTTAAGTGAGTAAGTGTTTAAACGTTCATGCTCTACTCTTTGTCTCTAAATTCTAATATATTTCCACTATCAAAAAAATAATTTTCTATTTACACACTTAAATTTCAAGAAAATTGGTCGTTCTGTTATTCCCGAAAATTCCATCCATTATCCGATTAGTTGTGTGTTTTATTAATTCAAACAGAGAGAAGATTACTCATACCTTTTCCTTCAAATTATAATAGCACACCTCTGCCATCATAAAAATATGAAAAATACCAGCCTGCTCAAAATCTTTCGAAATTATCTCCATCTTATTCCTTTGCTTCCAAATTCTAAATTATACATCAATTTTCCACTCATCATTATCTCCACATTATCTCTATCAACAACCAAACTGTTGAAAACTTATAATACGAATAATTAATTCTCCTCCATTCTCACCATTATCTCCACATTTTCCTTGCTTGCAAATTCTAACAAAACGTACTATCCCTCAAAACTTACACTAATATAAATACTTACACAACGTCACTACAGAAAAATACAAATCCAAAGTTAATCCACCCAATAATTAACACCCTTATTATCCCAAACAGAAATCAAACGAGAAATCTAACTTATATATATATATATATATACCTTCCCCTCCAACTCCTGATAGTGAGCCTTGGACATGGTTGGATTCAGCGGATACCCGTTTATCGACCTCGCGCAACGGATCCTCGTCGAGATGATGAACTTTTCCTCGGGATCGAGGTTGCCCAACTTGTCAGGGTCGCCCCAATCGAGCGGCGGGTGCACGTCCTCGGACGTGAAGCCGCCGTGATACTCCTCGATCACGGGGTTGAACAGGGGCGCGAACACGCTGTAAGAGTGCTGGTCAGGGGCGTATATACCGACGTTTGAGTCGAGGTTCTTCAGGCCCGACTGTATCACGTCCATCAACGAGGATTTGGTGTTGGTCAAACGCGACTTGAGCATGTTGAACATGTGTTTGTCCAAGTATTTCTTCAGAAGGGAGCGGCTCTCCTCCTTGCTGAATTTTTCGTACGCCTCGTCGAGGGCCTTCACCCGATCGTCGAACGGGCTCATGAAGCCCGGATGGATCTTCCTCTCGCACGCGCACAGACGTTTGTCGCACATGTTGCTGGATAATCGTAGGTTTCGATTATGGATCATCGAAATCGATGATTTTGAGAATGTTAATTAATTAAGGTGAAATTTTTGCGTGTACGGATTAATCGAACCAATTGGAAAGATTTTTTTGGAATGGGACTACTTCTCGAGTAGGAGGAACGGAGTACCGTGAATCTTGAGAATTTGAAAGATGGATTTTTTACAATTTTTTTTTCCCCCGAAACTTCCGCAACATCTTTCCGATATTATTTCCAAAATAATCGTTCCCTTACATCTCGACATCTCCAAAATTCCCGAACCGGTGTTTCAATGCGCGTGTGCGCCTGAACAATTCGAAATATCGTTTCAACATTTCCAAGAAGGGAAAACGTGTATGTATATATATACACATATATTGTGACAAAAGTAATACGTTTCAACATTTTCCAATCGACGATCCTTGACAAACGTTACTCATCCCCCGGAAGAAAAAGAAAGAGGAAGAGGAGAGAGAGAGAGGAGGAGGAGGAGGGGAGGGACGCCTCGAAATCGTCACATCCGCCTCCTCTTCTCGAGCCCCTGATTATTCCGTCCTCCTAACCTTTACGCCTGTGTGTCGGTCTCGGCCGTGTCGTCTCTCTATCGCTTTCCACCTCTCTCCCCTTTACTTGCCTCTTCTTCTCCTCCTCCCCTTCACCCGCGCGCCGCCACGCGGAGCATCCCCCGGAGCGTCGAGTTTTAATTACACATATTTTTTGCGCGAGCCGCACTCGAGCCGCGCACCGGTATGCGCCAGGAGGGCCCTACACACCTAGGCGACGTGAATATTCGGAATTTTGACGGACCGCTCGACCGCTTCTGGCATTGCCATCTCGACGCCGAGCGACCGCGAAATCTCGTTTCCCGCTCGTAGCGAAAAACCATCCCTCCCCTCTCCCCCCCCTTCTTGCTCCGTGCCAACTTCCTTCGAATGCGAATAATTTTTCTCGTGTGTGTGTGTGTGTGATTCTCGTGAATTTTATTTTAAACGAAATTTGGATTTTGTGATTGGATTTGGAAAAGCACGGTTTGATGTACATTGTGATACGGATCGTTATATGGATATTATATGGATCCCCTGTATAGATGGATATAATGCTGATATTTTCTAAATTGTGAAATTGTTAGGTTTGATGTTGGAGATTATTGGGGAGGGTATTGAATCGGTTATTAAATATATTGGAGCACGTTTTTTTTTTTTAGAATCGATTATTTCCAGAGAGGAGAAGATAAAGAAGAGGAAAATGCAAAAATATCGATCGAGTTTATTTGTCGAGTCACGAAGCAATGGAAATGGGGCGAGACTAGCGAACTCTGTCGTCGCCTCATCTAACGAGGTGAAATTAAGTAATTTGGTAAATAAGTAAAACGTCGAACTTTTTGCGCTCGTCTCGAACAATAGAGATTTCCAAATATTACGGTGGAATGGTTTTAAATCGTGGAATTGAGGGAAAAATCGATGAAAAGTGAGATAAATGATTATTGGAATAATTTTGATTGTACACGGGTTATTCGATATAAATTATTTAATAACGGAGGGTGTTTAATATTCGTCGAATAGATTTAGAGAGATCGATTCTATGAAAATAAAAAAATTTCAAAAGATGAGGTTAATTTAAATTTGCATTGGACGATGCGAGATGGTGATAGGACTGTTTTGTTCGTTTAAATATATTCATCTCTTTACTTAGAGATGACTTAATTCAAATATCCATATTTTATTTGTGATATTTCCGGGCGGAATTAGAATCGATTATTGATCGAGTTGCACGATAAATTTAGCACGATGTTGAAAAACACAATTCCACCCATGGATATTGAAATTTCCACGAATAAAAATTTCCCAAATATTTAAACATTCCGTTAAACGAGACAAATCTCATACGAAAATTTACAATTTTGTCGCAGTATAATTATGCGTTAGAAATAAAATACGATGTTGCGAAAAAATATAAAGCTAACAATGCAAAAAGAGAGGGGAAAAAAAAAACAGTTATTATACCGTTATACTAAAAATTCGTGATAATACGTTTCCTAAAAATTACGTGTTAATAAAATTAAAGCAACAATTTAATTGTAACACGATAAAAATAATGAAGCAACGCTATACAATGCGAGAAAAACAATTATTATGCTAAAAATTCCTAATGACAATTATATTAGAATTAAAATTTTACACTACAACTTTGTTAAAATGTAATAATATATAAAAACATAAAGTTAACAATGCAAAATACGTATTATGCGAAAATTTCATATTTCGTTCTTCGCCCTTCCAGCCGAGCACATTACAATTAAATTCAACCGAAGAAACAAAAGACGTTCCGCGTTACACGGGACCCACGATTAACAATAATCTTGGTGCGTTTAACGTATTTATTTTAAAAGGAATTAGTTAACGGTCGTAATTAAGGGGGAACGCACACGTGAGACGTAAATGAAAGAAGAAAAAAAGAAGAAGAAGAAGAAGAAGAAGAAAGAAAAAGAAGAGAGAGAGAGAGAGAGAGAAGCATCTTCCACGTGGTTTATTTGGTGCACAGCTGGAGCATATTATATATTACGAGGTTATCATAAGTAATGCTTGTAAGTCCCTTCAGTAATAAAGCAACGCGTAGAGACAAGACTCACGTATTTCAAAAAAACATTCTCCTGTGTTCCACTTATCGCACACAGTTACACGGCGAGAAACAAGTAAGCAAGTTTTCGATCGTAAATATGTTCGAGCGAGGAAATTATATTATCTTAATTGTCCGTATAGACTCGGAGAAATTTTGTTTTTCGGCGAAAACTAACGCGTGGAAATAATTTTAAACGATCAAACGTTTACAAATTTATAAACGAATGGATATGAACGAATGATACGTGATAATTGAAGATTTATCTGTTATTGTTATTTTCAAAGAAACATTTTCTTTTTTCATTCTCAAGAAAAATAAAGTTTCGAGAAAAGGAGGAAATATTTTTACAAAATTTGTTTCGATTGTTTGTTAAAAATTCCATTGAATTTTATCTCGCGATTGTTGAGAAACGAATCGTTGTTAAGGAGATTGTACGACTATTGTATGGAATAATAATAACGAAAGTATTCAGAAATATTTTTTCTTCTCTCTTTTTTTTTTCTTTCTTTTTTTTTTCTTCTTTTTTGCTTCCATACTAACCTCGATAGCTTTTTATTTATGACGTTTCGAATGTGTTTTGAATTTCGTCCGACGAGCCGGACTTCCGACATCGCCATTCCAATCGCGAACAACCGTGAAATCCTGTTTCCGGCGTGCTATCGTTTTCACGTGTCGTCAAAATATTTAACCCCTCTCTCTCTCTCTCTCTCTCTCTCTCTCTCTCTCTACTACTACTACTACTACTACTACTACT